AAAAAAAAAAAAAAAAAAAAAAAAAAAAATTCTCTACCAAAAAAGAAATGAGGATTCAGCTAAGGCCCTGGGTTCAATCCTCAACACTAAACAACAAAATAAGTAAAGGCATTTACAGACTCCCAGTTCAAATGAAATGAATGATAGAGACTGAAATAGTACACCGAACAGTTTAAATGATCAAGAATAAGATAAAGGGCTGGTGAGATGGCTCAGTGGTCTAAAGCACCTACTTAGAACAAGCTTAGCAAAGCACAGAGACAGCGGTTCAATCCCCCAGCTCCACATGTCAGCCAGCCCCGCCCCCTGGTGGGCTGAACTGGCCACACACACACACACACACACACACACACACAAATAAATAAAAAATTAAAAAAGAAAAAAAGATAAAGCTTAAGTATGTTACGGTCTACTGTGTTGTGGAATACCAAGGAATTACATGGAACAGAACCTCATGCAGCTGCTGGACAAATATTCATCATATAGAAAGTGAAAAGGACAAATAGTAAAATAATATACAATATGATCCTATTTACATTTAATGCAAAAATACCTAAGTGCATAACTATCCAAAGGTTTGCTAATAGTGACAGGCCTGTTAACTCTATCCCCAGCCCTGTTCTTTTCAAATTTCTACCATTTGTGTTTATGGTAAAACTAGTTTGCTCTTTTTTTTTTTTTTTCAAAGAGGCTGAAGCAGGACAATCAACATTTTAAGGCCAACCTGGATAATGTGACATCCTATTTGAATAACACATACCTTCTCTCTCTCTCTCTCTCTCTCTCTCTCTCTCTCTTCCCCCCCTTTCCTCCTCCCTCCCCTCAGTCTGGTCACAAGGGTAAACCTTCGTACTCCCAAAACTCTGGATAGGTAAGACAAGAGTCCTCCAAATTCAAGCCTAGCACAGACAACTAAATGACTGAGTACTTGTATCAAAAAACAGAGCTGGAAGGAGGGTTGGGGATATTCTTAGTGGTAAAGCACCTGCTTGGCAAGCTTGAGGTCATGAGTTTGGTTCCTAGTACAAAAAAAGGGGGCAGGAGGCTTGATATATAGCTCAATATAAAGGGCCCTGGGTTCCCTCCCCAGTATTAAAAAGAGAAAAACCTGGGGGATTTCAGACATGCACAAAATGCAATATAAAACATTCATACCCTTTGAACCTCTACTTAACAGGAATCTAGACTAAGGAAATAATCAGATATATGCCCTTTCTAGGAATTTATTGCTATACTATAAGCCAAAATATATTCACAAGCTACTTTTTAACTTTAAAAGCAATCAAATGGGGTACACACTTGCCTAACATGTGAAGTCCCTGAGTTTAGTCCCCAGCACTATACAAACAAAACCAACTGCCATGGGGCTGGTGAGATAGCTCAACAGTCTAAAGCACCTGCTTAGGCAGTGCAGGGACCAGGTTCAATCCCTCGCACCACATGCCACGCCAGTACCAACCCGCCAGGGTGGGCTGAGCTGGCCACACACACACACACACACACACACACACATAAAACCCCAACCAACTAGAAACCATTTAAATGCACAATATATTTTTAAAAACCAAACACATATAACGATTTGGTTTATACTTTTTATATTCAAAAGTCACACAGGTACAAGCAGAAAAAAGGCAAAACACTAATATGTCACATTTAAAATAGTAAGCACAACATATTAGGCTTATGGGAGAATCTGGTGTTCCACTGTCAGGGCCCTGCATATGATGTAAGCAAGCATGCACTCTACCCGTGACCTACGCCCTCATCCTAAAAACATGTTTTCTTCCATGATTTTCTGTTTTCCAAGCTCCTGACATATGACTATCTACTATTTATAACAGGGGAGGGGAGGGGAGAAACGAGGAATCTCAACTTTTTAACTTCTGTGTTTTGGTTTTCGCCTGAGACAGGGTCTCACTATACAGTTCAGGCTGGCCTTGAGCTCACTGTGTAGCCCAAGCTGGTCTTGAACTCACAAAGATTCTCCTACCTCAGCCTCTAGCAGCATGAGTCACCATGCCCACCTTTGTTTTTTGAGGACAGGGTCTCAATATGTATTCCAGGCCTTAGACTCAGTGTGCCT